TTTTTTTTTTTTTTTTTTTTTTTGATGCATAATGACCTCTTACACACACTTTTTGATCTTCATATGAGCTCACCCTTTGTGATGGTATTTACACCATTACAGAGGTCGTAAATTATTAACAATAGTAGTGACTATTCTGCAAGCGTAATTACAACAGAAAATGTCAACACAATTTACAAGGATATCAACATCAAATAATCACGTTTCTGCAGATGGTGCAATCCACGTAGCTCATAACAAATAATACAAGCAACTCAAACACGATGCAAAACAAAATGCCATTGTTTGTCCATGCAATATTAGCATTCTTTTTCTCGTGTTGAAAAACTGTTCTCACGATCATTCTTTATTGTCATCATAATCGTTCCATTCAGCGTGTGATATTGTTCTTGTACTGTTTTTCTTTTTTTCTCTCCACACTAATGACTCCAGTGAAGTCCGTTATTCTTTATTCCATTCATCACTGTTCCCTACCTCTCTCCACATTGTTTTGTAGTTACAATCCTCCTCATAGCTGTTATCAATGTTATCTCCATATCACCATTTACAACAAGCAGTAGCAAAAGGATTCGTTTTAATGTAGATTCTCATTCGAACATGACTCTCACCATTACCTGTGCCTGTAATGCACATACATATCCCTTGTTTTGACTCAATCAATGGCAAAGGTCTCCCAAAAAAATACCGCACTCAGCTCCCTAATTCCTAGATGCCATCATTAATAGTAATATCAACCCACAGGAATGCACAACCAAGCCCTTTCATTGGTAAATGTATTTCTTTCTATTTTTGCAGAGAACTCCACTCATGTCCATCAGACCACTCTCACAGACAAAAAAACACAATGGTGAATCATTCTTCTTCACGCTTTTCTTATTGGTCACACTGTTTCAATCCTAAGTAGGATCATATCAATTGCATCGATTAGAACTTCACGTTCACTAGGGGATATCGTAGCCAGTGGGGGAAGGCCATATGATGCACGAAATCTTTCAATTATTCTCCACTTCTGATCAACTGGCAGACCACTCCGATTCAGCATATGTCTCCCCATTTGCTCCTCCATAGTTTCCATCTCAGGTCCCCTATTATTAACGTCTGCACGAAGGGGTAAAGTATTTCCTGCACTTGTTTCTTGAAGAGGTGCGGGTGTCCCTCTCATCTGTCCTTCGCTGGGTGAAGCGTTACTCCTACACAGTACGCTGCTAACAGTATCATCAGTATTCTGGGCGTTATTACCACTTTGTACAGAACTAGCTATATTTCTAGATACAGCAGAAGTTGTTGTACTTTCAGTCGTAGTAGTTGTTGACAGAGGGTTCGGAGTGTTCTTCTTGGCAGCTGTTTTACTTGTGGATTGAGAGTCCGCAGCATCCATCTGCACCTTTTCTCTTCGTTGTTCTTGTTGTGGTCGCTGACGCAGTACAAAAAACAGAATGACAGCCACAATAACAAGAACAACCACAACTGCGATAACAATACCAACAATGGCACCAACAGATAATTTATTCGAGCTTGGCACCACTGCTGAGTCACCCTCCGGCAAAAAAAAAGGTTCCCTCACATCATGCGACCAAACATAACGGCGGCCGTTAAATGTCACATCAGATGCAACAAAGCAAAAGGTCACTTTGTCAGCACCCAGTTTATACAGACTGTACAGACTCAAGATGTCAACATCAACAGATGGGGAATTTGGGGTGCTACCACTCACACATACAGAGTCTTGAGCAGTAGCCACAGACTCACACGGTGTATTCGGCAGCACTGCACACACTTCATATGGTTCCTGCCTCCATAAGAGATCACCCCCACGCACATCAATCGTCACCAACGTGTTTGTAATCACAGTGACATTGAAAACAAAGGGATCCTGCAATACTCTTACTGGAAGTGCAGCGGGAGAAATACCAACCTCTGCACCGTAATCCGCGCAGACAGCGTAGTCGCCTGTTGTTGCAGAGAAGGGCCCATCCTTAGCAGACAAGTACACACGATCCGTGACAGCGGACCAAGTACACACATCAACACTCACTACCTGCTCACCACTGTTTAGTGTCATGCGTGGACACCCACCGTATGGGCACTTCACCAGGAACACACTGTTCATGTCAGTCACATTCGCACCTGTCACTGCGTCCTGGAGCAACAACGTGTTTTTCCCGAGAGTGTTCACATACAGTTCGCTTGGCACCAGCACCTTCACTTCGAGGGGAATTCCACCCCACGGCAAGTAGTAGCCTCGCCATCCACTCGCTGTTAAGCAGAGTGAATAGTTCCCAGGAATAGGAAGGGGTGCAGAAATCGCCAATTTGTGGCATCCAGTAGCAGCAATACAGTTTTTTGCCATGGCATCACAGTCTGACTGAGGAGGAACCAGCAGGTAGTTCTGAATGGCATTGATATTTGGGAAGTTTGTCCGCACCATTGTCTTCAACCCATAATAGGCACTGTTAGAAGTAAATGATGCTATTGTTTCTTTGAAATACAAAAACTTCATGGTGAAGTTGTTCGTCACTGGAATAGGGAACCCCAATTGACTATCGTCTAGAATGACAAGACTCATATCCCCTGGAGCAGCACTGTTTGGCACAAATGAAATGAGACTTGTTCCCTCTACAAGAGAAGCTGGCCATCCAGAAATGAGTCCACCATTGAAGTAATACCCAACCCTAAGAGACAAGGTACTTAGAACATTGGCATTGTCCACCTCGCAGTGTTGTGTTGTCTGACTGTCATAGACCACCATATTAGGAAAGCAACCGGTAATGGTTGCCAAAATACCATTTGTGCCAGCAGCTGCAGCACAGCAGAGAAATGGGTTTGGTATGGGCAGTAGTAGCCATAACACCACAAGGACACGCAGCACCTGTTGCAACGACAGCCTTTGATGGAACAGTGATGTCGTTGTATTCTTCTCATTCTCCCATCGATGCAGTGTTCAATTATTCACGCATAATGCTCGGAGGGCATCACGTTGTGTGTGTCGTTACGCACGCAGCACTCGTCTTGCTCGTTACAAAACTGCAGCTCTATCTGTTGTACTCCTTCCGTGTTCATCACCTTCATCATGCTGCTTGGTTTGCTTGATCACTTATTAGTGGTAGATTGCTTGAGGCTATTCTGTGGAGAAAGGAAAAGAGGGAAAAGAAAGCACACAACAAGTGAACTACACTGTAAATACAGATAGAGGGAACCAGTAATAGCAAGAAAACAAAAGCAATCATCACCTTTAACTGGAACAAGTACACAAATAATAAAGTAATAGTGGTAGTAAAAACTCAGCATCCATCTGCTCAACAAGACACCAACACCGTGTCCAAAAAGTTTTTCAGAGCATTGTCATTTATTCTCTACAGCTACAGTTAACGGTTATCCAATTAATTTTCACTACCACAATTTGCTCAGAAAACCATTAATTCACCAAGAAATAATAAACATTCTGGTGTGGCTTACTTAGTAAATCAAAACAATGAGGCAATACACACATCAGCCCATCCATAGGTTGAGTCCACACACACACACACAAATACGCACATGCATATACAATCAGAATACGGCAGGCAGCCGTTAGGGGAACACCCATGTGAAGAAGAGGAATATTACAACAGCAGAGATGTATCCCTAAACAACACCATTGGCTCTCACTCTCCATTACTTATTCCATTCCCAATGGAGAGGAAACCACATACACATACACACAAACAGCAAAATGTCCAGTCAAACAACACCGTCAAGAACAAACACAGGGAATGCTGGCACACCATGATAGGGTATAATCGGGGCAGTCCAAGTAGAGAAGCATATGGGACTCTGTACTCCACTCTCCCATTCCCCAACCAGTCCTCAGTGTTCACCAAATGTACACCGTGGTACACACAACACACTGTAGACCTCTCCAGAATGACCCAGCTCCTGCAGAGAACACAGCAATGAAAACAAACCCCTTAAACCATATAAATGTTCATGTACAGTGTCTATTCATCTATTTTGAATCAGCGTACATAATGATGGAAAGAATATAAAAAAGGAAAAAAAACTCCATGATAGCAGAGACACCAAATAACGAAAACAGATTATTAGGACATCATAACAACGATACATCCATGGACACCAATCTCCCTAGGGAAAAGCAAAACATCCATACTGATGATATCACCCCAATAAAGAAATCATTAGACCAAACCCCATAGTTAAAACCTCACACAATAGAAACAGAATTAAAACAAGCATATACACACAGATTGCTTGCAAAAAAAGAAAAAAAAAACTTTTTTTTACCACACCACAAGAAAAAAAAATGTATATTTAATATCATCCCATCGAATCCCTGCCCACTCCCACATCATTCTCACCCAGTGCGGCCCTCAATGTGCGCGATTACTCCTCTGTTCCATCCACACTCTGCAAAAGGTGAGGTCGAGAAATCAAGCCTCGTGTGTGGGCAAATAAAGGGACATTAGGAGTTAATCCCTGGACTCCAGAGATTGTAGCAAACAGTTAATTTTCCAAAAAAAGAAAGAAAGAGAAAAAAGAATTCCATTGTGCAGAACCCAAGGAACAGCCGCAAAAAAAAAAAAAAAAAAAAAACAATTAAAAAGAAAAGGGTCCAGATTATGGAGAGTTATTTTAATTTACTGATGAAAAGAAGCCCAATTAGAAATTCTATTCACGTGTTTGCACACACATTTATAGGAGAGATGTTGCAAGAGCCCACAATCCCAGCAGAAGTATTGGTAACACAGATTCATAGATACGAACAGTACCATCAATGGTTTTATTTTGGCGCGCCTTAACATCCCTGATGGTATTTGATTGAGTTGTATTCTGCAAATGTTCTTGTATCCTGTTTGAGATGTGAGCCGGCGCGGTAGTTTTTGTAGACGTTGCTTTATTTTCGGGAATTTTTTCTTTTTGCTGTGGTTTTTCTGGTGATTCTTTCACTTCGGGAACAATCCGACTCGCAGGCTCAGGGGAAGGTTGAGATTCAGGTATAACGGGAGCGGAAGCATTAGTGGTTTTCGCTGGGGTCGAAGTTGTACTGTTTTGTGGTGTTTCTGTTGCTTCCAGTGGTGAGGATTTAACAACGCCTGGTCTGTTCAGTATATCCTGGAGTATCTTTTCTCCATCTCTATCTTCAAAAGAAATATTCATCCTGCTCCTGAGCAGCGTATCAATCTCTTCATTACTCAACACGCGATTGTACAGCATAACATCTTTCACTGACATATTAACAATGACATTGCCTTTTCCTCCCTCACTGTACTCACCAAAGTAAAAATGGGTTATTTCTTTTTTCTCTGTGATTTTTAAGTCAGTTCCCACGTCTAGACGAGTACCGTTGATATACACAGAGCCCTTACCATTCTCAAATGTCAATATCACAGAATAATTTTTCTCCACTTCCCATTTAAGTATTTCAGCCTTCCCTTCATTGCCGTTCTTTACTGTGCTCCACTTACTCTCATTCGTGTACGACACTCCCAAAAGAATTTCTTGCCCATTTCTGTCCTTCAGTTTTACACCCAACAAAGGACTGCTGTCCTTCTTTGGTACCTCATGGATAGTCACCGTCGCCGCAAGAGTAAAGGCGTAGTTTGTAAAGTGATACTGCTTCGCCAGTCTATTTGCACTCACAGGCCATATTGCTCCAGCATCGGCACCTTTGAAGATTAAACCATTGAATTCATAATTTGATTTTGCCCCCTTTACAGTTGCATCCACGCAGAGGTATTCATCATTCCATTTATCACCATCGATGTTTCCAGACAAATAGCCCACCAATCCAGTTGTTGGAATACGACACTCAGAAGAAGCACAAGTTTCATTATAGCAGTGACATTTCGACACGAGGGTGTCCTGGTTGGTCCAGGTAGATAAAACAATCTTTATCTTCCCCATAACGGCCGTCAGATCCACAAAAAGAACCTTGTACTCCTCCGGAGTACCAGCCTCATACAGACAATACAGTTTGTCATCCTTGAACAATAAAGTGCTGGTTGTCACTTTCTGACCTTTAGATATCAAACCAACGTGATAAATGTGTGTGTTATCAGTGAGCCACAGATGAAGTTCGTTGCCCGCTTCAGTTTCCACAGACTGCGTAAAGAAAATGACACGCTTCCCATCAATCGTTGCAGTAATAAAAATGTTTTGAGTTCCACGACCAGGTGGTATAGGGGAGTTGGCCCACACACGAGAGAGTGTACTGGTAGACTCTTTCCAATTCTTTCCCAAATTGGTGGACTCATACACTCTGTAATAACCGCTGTCATGCTGAGCAATCATTATTAACTTTTCATTTTCCCACTCGATAACAGCAGGATTATAGGTATTCCCTTCATCAGATACGACTCCTCCAAGCTTCCAAACTTTTTCATCGGGTTTAAAATACATAACTCCTGCGGCACTTCGGTTGTATCTTGAAAGTAGTTGAACTGGGAACACAAGAGTATTGCTTTTCATTGTTAAAATTGGTGAACTTGTGTTACCAACAAATTTTATAAACTCATCGTATCCATGTCGAAAAGGAAATTGGGCAAGTACAGACGCATAACCCATAGAATACCCTTTACTACTGCTTTTTTCAGGTTTCACCTCCATAATGCGTAGAGTGGAATACTTTTTCTCTGCGTTCTGAGAGAAATAATATGGAGTACCATCCACAGTTGGAGTATTATTACTTTCCACTAGAACAAACGCAGGATAATAGTCTTTCTCATTCGGTGAAGGAATATAATCTTTACTGTATCGGTTGAATGGAAGAGGTTCAATTCTTTCATACTCTGGAATCCATTTGGTTCCATTATCACTGCTCTTTCGTCTCTGAAAGTTAATAGTCTCATACTGATTATTTGAAGCGGGGTGTATAGTAGCACTGGCCATTACCACCAATTCCCCATTCACTTGCATAAGATAGGGCGTGTAAAATTTACGGAGTGGGGGTTCTTGTGACGAATACTGCAACAACTTTGATTGCCATTGGTATCTTGCTGTTGGAAGTGTCGTTTTCTGTGTTATGGTAAAAACACTGGCGGACTTTGTTTGCGGAACTGCGGGTTTCGCATACCCACTGATGCAGCCCAGCAGTAAAAGGAGCAATACAACAAACAGAGAGCGGTTTATGTTGTACTTCATGGTTACTTTTTCGTCCTTACTCTCTTCTTGTTCTACTCGTCAGACCAAAGAGGTTATTGAATACTTGTAGTTGAATGCCAAAAAGTACTTGTGTTTGTATGTGTTGCGGTTGGTGATTCCTTTCAAGGTTTTCAGTTACAAAGTAGCGTTTGTAGCTTAGGCTTCTACTAACACGTCATGGAAATGATAAAGGAGAAAAAAAGAGAAACCAAAAAGAATTGTCCAAACTCAGAAGAGAAAAACAGAGGCGGAGATCATATACAGGTGGTCACACCACAGTAAAAACAAACAAAAATCCCCTTGAATCTGGGAAAAGTAGCATTATAAATCAAAGAAAAATAAAAAACAAAAAGTTCACACAAAAAAAAAAACTGTGGTGAAATTTCGTTCAAGGAGAGTAACGTAACAGAAAACAACATAAAGAAAGGAAAAGAGAGAGAGAGAAGACGAAGAGCAGACTATTCATATACAAGAGGTATAAATTTATTTTAATCTTCATTTAGCTTCTGTACACTCACATATTGTACACAACTCAAATGAATTTGGGTCCAACAGTTTACTCACTTACATCCTTCTTTATTCATGTAACCTCTTTTTTTTATTGACTCTAGTAAATGTTTAATATCAAGAGATTTGACTTTCTGTGAGGTTCATAACTTCGTTTCGCAAAAGTGGGAGTACCAGTCCTGGAACATGTAAAGTATTTTTTATACCGTTAAATCCAGTACCATGAAAAATTTCCTCAGTGGAAATAATTTCTCTGGCCTCACTCTCATCGCCATTCAAGACCTCAAGCAATCCCCAGATTCCATCCTCCACATTAGATTTCTTGTCGCATTTACTGGGTGTAAATTCTATTAACGTGTTAAAGAGAGAAAATTCTTTTGTAGTTTCTAAACCATCTGAAATCATTGCAAGTATCGTTTGAGAATTGGAATATTCTGAATCATTTTCATTAACCACATCTACTAGAGGAGGAAATCTTATTATTAAAGATTTATAACTATCCCCTTGTAAAAGTTCATCTGGAAAGAGAACAAGGTCACAATAAGCAATTAAAGGCATTAAACATGTTGACAGTGCCGATAGTAAACGATTTTTCTTGGCCCACGACTTACTAAGTTTTAGGACCCTAAGGGCAATATATGATCCTGAATTATCATCACTCCATGAATGCTTATACATACCCTTAGTGATGACTGATAGTATCCTGATAAAAAGCTCCCTAACAATAGTCACAAGAACAATTCTGTATAAAGGAGGGGTAGTGTAAATGAGATGAGGTTCTTCCCCTCCAGATGTGGAATTCAGGGTTGATATTATAGAGTTGAGCTCAGAGTACAGTATTGTCGTACCAGTAATAATATATTCCTCAAAGGAAAAGGATGCTTCCTCTGAAAATGGAAGAATCATCGGAAAATTATTACACAAACGTTCAAGGTGAAGCATGGGTAAAGAGACAATAGTAGCAGCGCAGTACTCTAATCCTGCTATCCAGAAAAGCTCTGAGGCAGCAGAAAGATTCAAATGATCTGCTAATTTTTCTATAATTTGATTCCCTCTAGAAATAAAGTTTTTATCGTCTAAACTGGATATCTCAGCAATTTGAAGAGTTACCTCGTGAATACTAGAGGATTTTAATTCGCCATGCGCGTAGAGAATAGAACGGTACATAACATGCGTTAAGAGACTTAGCCAGTCTCCTAAATGGCGTGTCTCCCTACAAACTTCAATAATAACGTGCGCTATAAAGTGCAGAATAAAACATCTTTGCGATTCTCCATTCCATTTCAAATAATAGTTCATCGCAAGTTGAGCTCCCGTTGGAGGTTTTTTTAATGATTTCAAGTTTTCAGTAGATATTGAATCTAGTGTAACAGTATTATGAATCCGTTTCACTGCTTCCAGTACGAGATCAGAAGAAGAAGAAGAAGAATAAGAAGAAATAACAATTCTCCTTAAAGGAACCTTGGGTGGAGGTTTAATTTCATTTCCTTTAATTATATCTGAGGTTAAACCTTCTTTATCTTGAGTTTCTAGTGTATGCTTATCCTTGTTTAAATAATTTGTTGCCTGTGTTTCATACGTCATAAAGGAGATGTTTTGCCCATGATAAAACTCACTACATGATGGTGAAATACTCTCCATAGTAGTGTTATTTACCCCATACTCCTTTGTATTCTCTCGGTTCTCTTCCAATTGGGCATTTTCATTCTTCTTCTTCTTCTCCTCAATTGAGGCCTCAGTTACACTATCAACAACACTTTCAAACTCACTTAATGCCAGAGAAGATTCTACAGAATCACCCTCACGACATTCGATAATACCAGGTTGACCTGACAAGGATTCACTGCTAGGTTCGCGCATGTAGGAAGTAAACGATATATTTGAAGTCAATTCAATCCCATGTTCTTGGTTATAACGTGTTTCTTCTGTTCCTTCCAACTCAAACTGTAGTTGTGGTGAACCTTCTCGGCCTTTCATGATAACTCGTCTTTTAGGGAAGCATTCTCCATCCATACTTTTACTTATATCGTAACACAATCGGATTACCTTTTGTGTATGAACCTCCGTAATAGAAAACTTAAGTTCTTTGCGTTTATAATTCCAGTCATTTCGACGCTGAAGTGTTGATGTGAAAATACGTTTCAATCCTACATGAACGATACCTTTATCATCTGCAGTAAGAACAGGGGAGGAGGCGTTTATCTTATCACCCCGCTTTATTTGAACAATGTAGGTTTTCCCAGGCAAACATTCAGTAATCATATTAACCAACAGACTAAAGACAATGCGTACATCCCGTGTGATTTTTTGCTGCATCGAAAACCATAAATATATATATATATATATATTTATATCTAGCAGAAAGTGAAAAGAAAAGAAAAATTTACGTAATCAAACTTTGCGCATGTACCAATTAAAACAAAATGTTACGGGAAAAAAGAGGGGAAGACTATTAAAAGCAAACCAAAAGCAAAATCAACGAAAAAATAAAAGGTTCACCACTTCGGGGTGGTACCTCTTGATTTAATTGCTTCCTCTTCCTTCTGCCGTTCCAGTTCCTCCTTAAATATTGATGAATCTTTTATAGAACGAAGCACACCAAGCTCTTCCATATCTTCTCGTCCCCTTCTCGCCGTACTCCATCGACGAAGAATCTCATCTTTCACAGATCCTCCTGCAAGAACCTTTTTATGTACTTCACTAGGCTCTCCATCTTCTCTATCTTCAGTTTTCACCCCGGTTTTGGGATCAACCGTTTCAAAGACTACTTTACTCGGTTTGTGTGCGAGCGAGAAGAGAACATTTGAAAAGTCAAAAGCTGCCCGTTCACATCTTGACATTTGTTGAATGGAAGGCAATCCATTTAAATCGTTAAGTTGTGCAACTTTTTTATACCCCAACGCATAAAAACGATCTATATCTGATGAAATAGGACAAACAGAGGCCACACGCTGACAATGAACTTCACACAAGTTATAGTCTTCTTTTCGACGTTCTTGTGCCACTGTCATATATTCTTTTTCCCATCCTCTTGGCGCTCGACTTTTATTTTCAATAACTCTCTCCGTTCTTTCTAAACAAAGCTTTGAGCAATCACTACATAGTGCAACTAGAGAAGAGATAGTGAGACCGTTCGTATTATAATTGTCCTTGTGGGATTGAAGGGCCATGCTAAAAGACACTTTAAGTAATAGAGAGATAAAAAGAAACAGGAAGAAACACGAAAAAAAAACTTTTAAGTACACTCTTCAGAAAGAAAAAAAAAAAATAATTAAATAAAAGTTCCCCTGTAATAAAATTAGTCTATCCAGTCTTAAATTAGACCCGCAAACATACAAAGAAAGAAAAAAAAAATAAACAAATTGGTGAAGAATGTACCTTATTCTTTTCGTCTAGTCAAAGAGACCAAAGCCCATATCGTCATCTTCTTCTTCTTCAGCAGCGGCAGGGGCAGCAGCGGCGGGGGCAGCGGCAGCAGGGGCAGCAGCAGCACCACCGGCGGCAGCAGGACCAGCGCCTCCACCCACCAGCTTCGCCTTGCCCTCCATGCACACAGCATCAAAGTCCTTGCCCTCCAGTTCGTCGAAGAGAGCGGACAGGCGTGAGGCATCAACCGGCACGCTGGCAGCCTTCAGGACAGCCTCGACATCTGTCTTTGAGGGTGTCTTCCCGGAAAGACTGACCAAGGCGTATGCAGCGAGGTACTTCATAATGACAAGATACCTTGTACTGCAAAAGCAGTAGTAGGAGTGATGCAAGAATAAAAAAGAAAAAGAGAAACAGTTGATAGTATATAAGGTACATATATATATACACGCATTTACGATAAAATACAAAGGGAATTGTTGGTAATAATGAAACAGAGGTGCATACACAGAAACAAGAAAAAAAAAAGTTGATATCATGTTTTCTCTCTCTCTCTCTCTTTTCTCTTTTAATGCGTTCTCTCCAGATTATGTATAAAGGCATTAACATCTTCTACTGTTAGTGGTAGACAAGGTAAACCTCGCTCTGAAAAAATGGTATTAATACCATTTATATCTGAGGATTTATTCAATAGTGAGGCATTACTTGAAGTGGAAAAGTGATCTAGATCAGTTTGATCTAAAAATTCTTCCAGAGATGATTTTATAGAGGCGAAACAGAGTTTAATGAATAATTCTGCTTCAGACGTCACCCGAGTTTGTACATCTCGTGGAAGAGTTAAAAATTTCTCAATCAAATCTGCGTCACAGACACACTTTGACAAATATCGTTTTCTACGCTCCTGAAGTATTGCAGCTGATTTTGGATTTTTATCGTCAAACGATGCATTTCGGCTATGGCCTCTTTCTTGTCCAACTGAAAGAACCTCTCGAAAATTTGTGTGGGTAAAGCCTCCCAAGTTGGGAGTCACTGCGGACACTGAAACTTCAAACGCCTTCAAGAATAGATAGGTTTCGTTTGTAATGGGAGTTATTGTTCCAAAAGCTCCATAGGAGGTCCCAAACACAATCTGAGAAGCACAAACTCCTGGTATAAGATTGTTAGGAATAGGAACTATATCATTCATCACAGAACAGGGGGCAAAACTACCTTGTTGCATTACAGTTATTAAATCGCCCAAATGGTATTGAGCTTTAGTTTTAAGCTTTCTTCTCATCATCATCTTTGACTGGGTGTCTGATGAACCTTGAGACGGAGCTATATCATGATATACAGAAAAAAAATTAAAGTGATCATCCCCAAAACACATATCATGACGTTTATCAGACTGAGATACAACACCATCCATAACTCCTCGAAGTTCTGAATCACGAGCTACAATACTAAGATTACCCTGAATAGTATCTACCTGAAGAAAAAAACAACTGTGACGATTGTCAAAGGCCACAATAGACGATAGACCTTCTTGAAAAAGAGGTACCAATCGTACTACAATTGTACCAACACGTAAAGTTTCTTCAGCCACAAAAGTAGAATCTACAGAATTCCAACTATAAATTGATACACAACCATTTATACCAAGGGCTATTCGACCTGTATAATTAGGTACAACACAACAGCATTGTAAGGCTCCTTCAACATCTTTACTCCCATCTTGACGAAGTTGTAATCTTTCAGAAGTTAATCTACCTTGTTCAACTGAATACCACATAAAACGACTTGATCGAGATAATTGTTCATCAGGGAAAGCAAAAGTTGTTCCTATGAGAATTACTCCTTTATCATCAGGATGATTTAGTTCATATCTTTCATTTGATCCTCCAAGAACAAGAGGTTCAATAAAAACACACCGCTCATTTTCAAGAAGTTCAATTAAATTTTGTTCATCTCTTGTTACGCATGAATTGGTTATTTCATGTCCCATCATTGTAAAAATTTGATCCTTTTCATTACGACGAAGCGAAAGGACAAAAATATTCCACCATGAAATATACTTTACTCGAGTAACCGTAGCATTAAAAGCATGAAAATTCATGTTTAATTTTTTAAGATCCACAATAGTTCCAAAAACGAGAGCTCGTTCACCTTTAGAAAAGAATATATACCTTGGTAAAAGTTGAGCATCACTACGAATAATAGCACACGCCGAAACATCATTAAAATCTATTCCTGTTAATTGAAATCCTGTATCAGAGAGAATAATAATAAGAGGTACCTCTCCTAAACATAAAACAGAATTATGACTTTCTAAATTAAATAATTGTAGAGGTTGTGTCATTAACAAAACCTCATGATAAGAGCATTCCAGGGAAATATCTTCCAGAGCAAGGTCAACAATATTTCCATTTATTAAACCAATAAGGAGTCGTGGTTTTTCAAGATGTGGTAAAACACACATAGAATAGGGAGTCGCTGAACAAATAAACTTTCCCTTAAGATATACTACTCCTTCATGAATTTCATATAGGCAAACCGCAGAAGAACCCCATTCCCCAATTAAAAAACTATTTGAAGAAAAAACTAACAAACATGAAACTTCATTTTCCAATTGAAGTGTTGGTTTTGTAAAAGGTTCATTAAGGTTGCAAATAAATACAATTCTTGAACTTGAGAAAATAAGTAATCCGTGACTTTCCTGTGCGTGTTCAATACGTTTAACATCATCCTTTATAAGATAATTTCCCTCATTACCACTCACAACCTTAAGTCCTATTGTTGTTACCTGATAAAATTTGTTACTTTTAGAACTCCAAGCAAGAGCTAAAGTTTCATTTAAAGTATCAAAAGGTGTTTCTAACAACTCTTCTATTTTTGTGCATTCTTCTGTTAAGCAATGACAAATTCGACTATATCCTGGAAAAGTAAAAATTATGACTTTTCCAGAAACACTTATACGCTTAACATCAGAAATATTTCCAATAGAAACATCATGACGAACGTTAACAGCAGAACGTACAAGACTTAAACCTCCATTTGGACCTACACCAGTACTAGCAATAACACTCATTCGAGGACCATCTACTGCTACAGTCATATCAAACACTGGACCACAATGATTTACCAATATACCACTTTCCCCTGTACGCCATTTCATCCAAAGTGTATTAGCCATAGGAGATCCTACTACGCAATATTCCCCAAGAACTGCGAGAGAATCTGGAATAGTACACAAAGATGAAACAACAACATTTAATAATACCAATTTAGTTGAACCTATCCCATCAACTTCTTCCTTTAATGTAGCCTTAACATAGGTTCCATCCCAAAAACAAACAAGCAGTTCCTTATTGGGAAGGGAAACACAGCAAACAGGTTCAATATATGTACTAAAAGAAGGGAATGACAGAGTTGTCACATTTTTCGATGGAACTGTTGGAGTAGGAGTAAAAACAGATTTACGGGAAATAAAGGTAATCAATTGAACTCCAATAACAAATAATCCTTCAGAAACAACATGAAGAAGACAAGCATTTGTTTCAACATTAGCCAAAAGAACCCCTTTTCTCCGAAAAACATTTTCTGCAGGAAAAACGCTAGAGGCATCAGAAATCCAAGAATAGTTTTGCATTCTTTCTCCTCTTCGCTGATCATCACTTTTACCCATATCAATAGAATACTCAGAGACGTGAGTTTTCCCCAGAGAATCTGAGTAAAGAACAAACAAGGGAACAAGACTTTTTTCAGATTCAGCACGTCCAATAGTGATACGTCGTACATCAACCTCTGATGCATGAAATTGTCCTTGTAGGAAATATTCTACTCGTTTTTGCTTTTTAAAAACACGTTGTGTATATTCCAAAGGAAAAATATTACCAAGTGTTTGTGATGCATTCTTGGAGTTCCGGCTGTAGGAAGCAATAGCGCTAGCAGCATCAAAAACAAAAAAGCTACCACAGTGAATAGAAAGTACAACTATCGGAATTAAATCATCACCTTGAGTTCTATAAACACCTGAGGAACAAAGATATGCTTCACCAATTTTCTGCTGACCATAGCAAAAGTCAACACCACCGTAAAATAAAGTAATGAGTTCAACACGACCACCACGTTCTTGTTTAAACGCCACAATGGAAACTTCCTGTTTGACAGAAAAAAGAAAAGCTACATGTCTACCAATACCTTTGGAATCAAAAAATGGCAAAGCTTCCACAAACTTCAAGGAGGCAAACAAGGGGAAATCGCCGAGGTGCTCAAGGGATTGATTCTTCTCTTTGAAAAGAGAAATCTTATTTAGTCGATTTAATAAAACTATTTTTTCATCATTTCCCAAAAAAAATCCAGTAACCATCCCCAGCACAGCTGTTGGAGATTTACTTGTAGACACCACAAAGGGCATCCTCGTTAACTACAGTGCTTGAGCTAACTAATTGATTTCTTGTTTACAGAAATAAGACAAAAAAAAAAAAGAAAAGACAATCAGAGGAAATAAAAGATGAATAAAAGGAAATAAAAAAAAAGGAAGGAAAGAAACGAGGAAACAAGGAAGGAAACTCGCCTTGCGTATTGCAGATTAGATACACATGTAAATTGTTTACTTTTTCTTCATCTCTCTCACCTCTTTTTTTTTCCCCATAATTACGGCATCCAAGTGCCGTAAACAAACACACACACACTTATATATATATTCTTCTATGGAGGACAAAATAAAATAAATAAAAAAAAAAACATGATGTTGTGAGGGAAAATAATAAATTTATGTCATAATCTATGTGTTTGTCCCAAGACGACGACACAACGCCTCTCAACAGAAGCAATCTACAATATCTGTACAGCAACGTACTCTTCGAAGTAGTGTGGTCACAACACGCAACATTGCCGATGGTATCATGATTGATTTGATCTTTGATGTAGACCCTGAAGCAAAGTATACCCTTCCTTCTTTATTCGTTTTGGCATCTCGCCTAATATCTAAGAAAGAAAAAACAAGACATGTTTGATTCGTTTCAAACGCTATAACAGCACGAAACCCAGCATAAACGAGAATATCAAGACTCCACGGCCGATTAACTGCAGACTCTGAAAGACCGCTATATCTTGGACAAAACAGTGGCTGAGGAACTTCTTGGCAACGCACAGAGACTTGAAAAGAGTAGTCAGACATACGCGCAACCAAAAGTTGCATATCCGCACCCTGGTGTTCACCTGTTAAACCATGTAAAGTTTCCATAACGGCATCCTTAACATAGACAAGATCCGCTTTGCTATCACCAAGATGAGAAGGTGCAAATAAATCCTTTTCCCACTCAGAATGCCATTGTTTAAACGTACAAGTCAAAGCTACCATTCGTTTATCTTTTGTTCCCTTCTCCAAAAAAGGAAGAAAAAATTTTGTTATGGCTAACTTCTTCGCCGCTGCAGCTTGTGATCGACTAGTCGCTTCATCCCCTTCAGTTCGATGAGTCAAACTAATTGAGGCATTGCGAAAAATAATTAATTCATCACGAAAACCTTTATTAGCAAGCTCTTCACTAAGAAGTGGACTTCGATTTCCAGATTCAGGAGACAAAGCTTGTATACGAGAACGTCCATAATAAAAGACAATATCCAAATCAACATCAAACACCAGTTTCGTTTTATCATTAAGAAAAACAGTTGGAAACCATTTCCCTCCTTGAAGTGAAAGGAATCCATACCCATATTTATTGCAATATATACTACTTTGAAGCATAACAGATGGTGCAGGGGGTCTTAATTGAGGAACCTTATCTTCTGAAGGTGAATAAAGTGTACCAGAGACAGTTTCACTAATACAATCATTTTCTTTAAGGAATTCATGAAGTGTCCTTGGTAATTCATGTTCAGATCCTTTTCTAGAATATCGCTTTAATGATGTACTTCTTCGGTAATCATTGGAATTTCTTTCATTATGGGAAAAGGGAGATTGTGCAGCGATGGGTGGAGCCCATAATGGACTTCGACGTTCATTTGGCGATGTTACCCTAGGTGCATCCAGCGGAACAAGGGTTTTTGGAACAATATGAAGGGGTTGTTGAGAGTGAAAAAAGCTGTGACGTAATACTTGATTGGGTGTAGGTCGTTGTTGTGGTTCCCTCTGGAGCATCCATTGAATTAATTCTTTACAAGACTCTGAAACTGTTGTACCTGGTGGAAAAGAATAATCTGCTCGACGAATTTTGTTGTAGGTGGTGTTAATATCTTTGGTTTCAAATGGTGGAGTACCAAATGCCAAGGCATACAAAATAACCCCTAAACTCCAAATATCTGCTTCAAGTCCATAACCCATACCAGTTTTTTCAGTAGCAAGAACTTCAGGGGCTATATAATTTGGAGTACCACAAGTAGTTGTTTTTTTGTCAGATAAGGAAGTAAGCTCACTGGCAAATCCAAAATCACCAATTTTCATATTGCCAGAAAAATCAATCATAACATTTCCAAGTTTTAAATCCCTGTGTATAATTAATTTGTTATGCATGTATTCTACGGCAGACACAATCTGAAACATGATGTACTGCATCTCTTCAGTAGTAAACGTTCCCCGTTCTTTTGACAAGTCCATCATACTTTTTTTAGAACATTGTTCAAGAATAATATAGTGGTAATATTCGTCCTGAAATGATTTAACAAACTGAATAATGTTAGGATGTCTTACACGACTATGGATATCAACTTCCATACGAAACTTTGCCTCTGACCCTCTACGTGTCAGGGTTCTCTTATCTATTACTTTACCTGCATAATACACACCGGTAGAAAGGTCTTTAAAATCAAAAACTTGGGCAAATCCACCTGTGCCAAGAAGTGACCCACACCGATATCTAGAGACCACATCTCGTGTGACCGGATCTCTTTCCTCTACAATGATACCGCAACCGTCATAATACGTTGCCCTTTGCCGTGGTGGGGCCATTACCGTTGAAGCCGCGCGCTGCTGTCTGGACCCGGCGGCGGTGGACGGGGCGAACTCTGGGCGGGGGCGCGGGATGCCGCCGCTGGCGGAGGCCGGACGGCCAATGACCCCCGCGGGGTAACGGGCCTCCGCCAGCGGCGACGGCGACGACGGGATGGCGCAGTTCAAATTCGCCACCGCTGCGACGCCAACCCCCACGCCCACACCATTGGAATACGGACGGGGATGAGCATGCGGGTGAGGATAAGGTCGAGGACTAGTGGTAGTGGTAGTAGTGGTTGTAGTGGTAGTGATTGCTGCTGCAGTACTTGTTGTAGGGCCGGCGATGGGGGGCGGCGGCATGTACTGCTGGACAGTAGGGGAGCCCCGTGGCCATTCCCGCCCCAACGGCGTACGGCTGTACGGCGAAGAGGAGTCAACGGAAGGCGATCGCGTGTATTGCCTACCATTCTCTAAATGGAAGGATGGTTTTCTATGATACGTCATTGAAGCCACCGCAACAACCTTCTTCACCAACACACCTTTCTACCAAGCGTTATACACTGTATTCCCTCTACAATTAGCAAGTCAGAAAAAAAAAAGAGAGGATGAAAAAAAAAGATGAGTTAAAGAGTATATATATATATATATATATATATATATATATATACGGAACATTTACAAGGAAAACGAAAAGCAAAAAAAAAAAAATATATATTAACCTATGAGATCAAGGGATAAAAAGAAAAAAAATTTTTAATAAGAAAAAAAGTTAAAGAAATTCACCTATTTCCTTATTTCTTTTTCTTTTCTTTTTTTCTTTGCTTTACGATCATTCCATAAAATGTTACCTAGTAAGGAACTGTACCTACTACCCATAGCTTCCTTTAACTACCTAATTTTCATCTAATGGTGTGATTTAATTGGTGGTCCAAAGACAAACCAAGCAGTAACTGCAGAGAGGCAACCACCCACCATCAACTTGTCCATCATTGAATCACCATCTGGTCCGGTTGCACCATTCACCTTAGACATTTGAGGAGCCTTTGCTGCGTTTTTGGGATCTACCTTTTTTGCTGCAGAAGCACGAAGTGGTCGTGTGTACTGCGCAGCAAAAGAAAATGTTCGACGAAGCATGCTACCTCTCTCTGCTAAAACTTTAAAATAAGTGAAAAATTAAGAAAAGAAAGGAAAAAAAGAAAAAAGAAATACAAGAAATCGAATTTTGCTATATATATATATATATATATATATATATATATATATATATATCCCTAACTTGATGTAAGTAAATCAAATAAAATAAAATCAAATATTTTTTTCTACTTTTTGTATTTATTGCTTGCGAGTAAAGAATCAACCCCAAGTAATGAAAACTAAATTTAGAAAGGGGAACAACGCGTGAATACTGAAACTCGACCACAAAGTCTACTGAGTTTTGAACATCCTCAAAAAGGGAAAAACAGAAAGCAAAACAAAACAAAACAAAAACTCTACTTTAAATATCTACCTTGAGGATCACCACATAATTTTGCAATGGTCTCAATTGTCGTTTGAATCCTACTACAACGATTAGATGAATAGGAACCATCACACTGCAGATATATAGTTTCCAAAGTATCTTCGAGTGAATCAATATATGACAAAAGACCACGAGTGAAAGAAACCTGCAAACCCTTAAGTTGCACAGACAAGATATACTTCGTTCCTGGAGGATTAAATGCTACAAAAGGTAAATTATACTTGGAAGCGAGAATTTTGACGTAACCACCATTAAATTCATCACCTACAAGTAAAATACGTTCTTTCTTTCCAACAGCAATCAAGTTATCAATATACACTGAAACACTATGAAGTACATCAGAGTGTGGGAACCATGTTCGAAAAAACGAAGCACCTTTAACAAAAGAAGTTCGATAATTTTCAGGCCATATACTAACAAGAGGAGATATGATTCCGGCTATTTGAACAGCGATGGATGTTCCCCAATCATCTATACTGCGCATGAGAGACAAACCTCTATTATTGGCATTTAATGTAATAAAATGGTAGTCACTTGTCAAATCCACAAAGTCTGAAAATTGAATATTTATTCCATCCGTTGCATAATCAAAGTCAGGTGGTAAACGAAGAGGAAACTGACGTACAAAGTTAGGGAACTGATTAAACCAGGTCACAAAATCCACATCACCATTTGTTGTCAGTGTATACGAAAGAGCACTCAAAAGAGAGAGATCATATAATCCAAGAGGAGCAGAACCATTCACGTTATATCGTATCTGACAAAATGAGAGTCCTGAATCCTCTCCAATAATAGGACTACCACGAACAGCAATATTATTTGTAAAACGGTACACCATTGCATTTCCTAAAGCAATGACAAAGGCCAATGCAAACATAACAATCAACCACCAATATAAAAGAACTTTTTGATCTGTTCTAAGAGTAATATTATCTAATTCATATTTTCGTTCAGCGCGAACAACATCAGGATGACGATAACCAAAAAAAGTTTTGACATCAAAACATTTTATACAACTTAAAAAAAGATCTCTACAACACAACAAATAGGTATCATACTTACGTTTTTGTACATCATGTCGTATTTCAGGATCCAGAGAAATCTTAAAAAGTTTACATTGTTCTCTTATCGTAAGTTCATGACGTCTTTTCCGCGCAAGCATACAATGCGAAGCAAAGAATAAAACAATTACCACAGCAACTGCTTCTTTAGAGGCTGCTATTGCGCATCCCACTATACCAAGTACAAGTAAAACAAAAATTAAAAAAATTGAGGCATACAGAGACCAATGAGACCTTGTGTGAAACATTGACATCCAAGATACAACAAAAACACAAGTAATCGAAACACTTGCTATAGCTCCCCATGTAACTTCTGGATCTCCAATAAAGGTACTTAGTGCCTGAGATGTATAGAGTCCAAATAATGGTACACATCCCAGTGTAAAAACCACAGAATTCCAGCGCAATGTTTTGCCATCTAATCCATATTCCTCTAGTACAGTAGAGGCATGATACCAACGTTTCTTTAGTTCACCAGTGACTTTATGCTTTGATGCATTTTCCCATAATAAATAATCATCTCGCTTCAGACGCTCAGTAAAAGTTACTCGTTTTTGTTTTAGCGCTAACCAGTAAAACCAAATATAACATATTGCAACTATACAAGCAGTAACAATAACAGATATAAACGCGAAGGATTGAGCAAAGAAGATAAGTGATTGTTTGTTATAAGCTGCATCAATAATACCCCAAATAAACGGAAATATGGCAGTAGCAATAATGAGTATAAAGTACACATAATAAGGAGGTTTGTTTTTTCGATAACTTGACATACCCCAAAATTTGATATCATCACGTTTTACACGCCAAAGGTCTTTTATCATGTCTGACCATGTACAAAACGCTGTTACTATGGTAAAACTCAAAAAGAAGAAAATGCTGAAAAACCCCATTACAAGTCCTATAGAAGTGTTTTTATCACCAGTAGAAGTGTACATTCGAAAAAGCACTTGAAATGTCCAATTGAGGAATATGGAAACAAGAAGAGCTCCAGTGCAGTAGAGTAAAAATGCAAAGTAAATGCGAAATCCAAAGGACATAAAAATATCTAAAACAATGTCCGCAAACCAGTTGTATGATCGAGGTTCCCAATCTTCAAATTCGTAAGAACGAATTAGATTCTCTGGTGTGAGAGGAATTTCACCAACTTCTTGTACTTCCTCATTTATTGGAGCTTCTTCTCCTGGATAGTAGTAGTAGTTCCCATCAGCCGCTTCATAGTAATAATTCTGAAACTGATTGGAATCGCTTGCACCTTGTTGGGCTTCTGACTCCACATTTATCTCTTGTGCTTCGTCAGTAGTTATTCTATCCTCACGCACCCCTTCTTCTTTAACATAAGACACCGCAGACTGACTCTGATTCATCGTGGGATCGCAATGAGGGAAAAAGAGAAACAAATAAAAATATAAAAAGAAACCCAAGTACACTACGTGAAGAGAAAAAAAAAAAATAAAAATAAAGAAAAAAAAATATGAAATGAAAATATAAAGAAAAAAACAAAAATAAATAAATAAACAAATACATATATATATATATATATATATATATATATATATGTATACATTGTACGAGAGAAAGGAAAGAGTAAAATAAATTCTAAACGATGGAGAGCGAGAAATATCACTTTTTTTTTCTTTCTTTCTCCCTTTTCCTTTCCTTTTTATTTACGTGCTTTCGTTTTTCAGCCCCTATTCTACGATGTTCTTATCATCATCATCATCATCATCATCATCCCTTCCCAAAAAAACTGTCATCATAAGGATCCTATACCAATTTTACTTAATATAGCGGTTGACAGGTAAGAATATAACATTAGGGGAATGAAGCGTTATGTTGGGGCCTTGAGAGACTTTGATTGCTATCCTAGAGAGACTTTAAAAAATCAGTATCAACAATTATACCATTAGTACCACTATATGTGTAATATTTTCATTACACATCTACTGATAGATACTTCAAATGGCATTTTTTATGGAACTTATTTTTTATCACTCATGGCTCGTTTTAGCTGCTTTAAGGCAATATTGTATCTATTTGCAAGTGTCTCATTCCCATCACCTTTAATAGACTGTCCTTTTGTAAAAAGGACCTTCGCTCTCTCCAAATTACCACGGCGGTACTCCATCTCACCAGTCTCGTAATAAGTATATGGCAATACCATAGAATCACTTGGAATACGCTTTTCATTGGCAAGAATTTTTCCCATTGTCTGAAGCGCCTCATCAATACGATCACATCCCTTTTGAATGACTCCAACGAAAAGCAAATACATATTCTCTGGTTCAGGTCCACTCAAATCTTTTCCTTCGGTTACTCGTTTCAACTCACTCAGCACACGTTCTGCCTGTTCTACATTCATGTGGGCGAGATCACGATTAATGTACAACATGTACACTCCACATAAGGGTAGTAAACGGTTATTTGACACAACACGTGCTGCAAATTTTGGAGAATTAGCATCATTTTTTGATCTTGGATTGTACATAGAACCTACCTTTTTGAGCCAACTCGATGCTGTTACATCATCACCAAGCATCACGTAGCAGGCGGCAAGTGAAAGAACAACTTGTCCAGTATAAGCAAAGGTTTCCTTCGTTTTTCCAAGATGGTTAAGAAGTGCTGCATACTTTTCCTTTGCCTCAGCATAGCGGAGGTCCATAAAAAGTGTATCAGCATGTAAGTAACGAATCAATAACGGTACAAGACCGGCACGCTCTGCATTTCTTGCAGCTTTCTCTATAGCAATTAGTGCTTCTGCTGTTTCACCCCTCTTCCTGTGATAAAAGTTTGAATAGCCGTGAAAATATGTATTTTCTGGATATCTTTGATTCATTGTATTCAATATATGTTTTGCTTTTTGAAGTGTTTCCTCAACACGACCAATTCCAGTCGGAAGAAAAAGATAAAGTGTACACAGCACCAAAGCTGCAAAAGGAGAACGGATCCCATTGTTTTCAAAAACCTCAGTGAGGTACTGTTCACCAAGCTCCTTATCCGATATAAAACCAATGACGTTAAGAAGCTTCATCAAATTGGCTGGAACAAGAGCTAAAAACGCGTAAAAGGTCCCTGTCCCATATTTAATGCACATTTTGATCTCATTGGGAATTCGATTAGCAGTATCTGCCTCAACGATTTGAATTAATCTGTGGTATATACCCCACGTTCTGCGCAAATTTATACCACCTTTTAGATAAGAGTTCATCATTAGCTGGCATACAGAACGCATTAACAAAGCATCTGCATAGACAACATCACATTCTAACTGCCAACTCTCGTCAAAGTGTTCACCAGCTTTTTCAGCTGCTTTCCGTCGACCCTTAAATGCCTTCTTCTTCTTTTTTCGTTCAGCTCCTCCTGTGTGCGTAATGGAACTGTTGGAGCTTAACTCATTACTACGACCGCCAGCACTGCTGTTATCCCCATTACCAATATCATCGCTGTCATCATCGATGAAGAACATGGGTTCACTGTATTTTGCAGCGGTTGCCCGTGAATCTGCCAATTTAAACAAATCAAGAAGTGCTTCACGGCTTTCATTTGTGGAGTTCATCAGTGTCTGGACGAGAAAACAGTTAGCATACTCCAACGCGTAACGTGGGTGAATGTTCTTATGTACAGAGAGCAGTGCCTCTGCCTCTGGGTACCTGTTAGTCCACATCATATGCACTGCATCCTCAATCTGGGAGTGCAGACCATGGCCATCGCTGCTCATTGGTGTGCCTTCTTTCGACATGACTAGTTCTCACTCCTTTCCTCCACATACATACATATTGTATATACATCAGTAGAAGAAGAAAAATAAAAAAGGAAAGTAAGGTAAATAAAACAACATCAGAAAGGAACAGTAGAGTCGTTTATTTTATTTTATTTCGAAAAAAAGAAACGAAAAAAAAAAAAAAACACAAGAGAAGCTTAAATATCTTTCATACAGAATTGTCGTACAATGGGCACCAATAATAATAATAATAATAATAATAACAATATCACCACGGGTTCCCCACCTCCCTTCCCTGTAGCACATCAGTGAGTAAACTACTAAGTTATCTCCACTTTTTTGGTGTGTATGCGTGTGTGTATGTGTTTTTTTTTTTTTGATACAGAACAGCAAATAAAAATTTGACTCCCCTATTCGTATTTCTTTTCATTCATCGCCTTCCAGAAATCCGTCTTGTGTTAAAGGGAAAAAAAAAACAAAGAGAGAAAAAAACAAAAAAAAAAAAAAAAAAAGGATGTGTACCCCCACCTTTCACCACCCATCTACTTGCATATGGCCTTCCGTGAAGTTGCAAGGGCCTTTGACTTTAGTTTCTGCCTTTCAAAGAAAAGATCAGAGTAGTGCAGACGCTGTTCTTGGATGTACTCCATGGCCTTTATTCGTTGTTTTTCTTCTTCATATGCAGCCCCTGAAGCAAGTTGGTCAAGTTCCTGAATGGCTTTTTGGCACTCCCGCGACAATGCTTCAACCTTACATGCAAGAGCATCAATCACATCTTCCTTTTCCTTTACAATGGTGTTCAGAGTTTCAATGCGTCGTGAAAGTCTTTCCTCCTCTGCGAGAAGCAACTTATATATAACAGGATGGCATTTTTCCTGTGCTGGAATGATTTTTTCTAAGTCATACATATCTGCCTCAGAATCAACAAGAACCAGTTCACCATTTGATTCCCAGTTCCGTGAGAGAAGTGAATCCACCTCTCGCACAAGATTGTTATTCTGAAGCGCTTTCTGAATACATTCTAAACGACGTTCAAGCTGTTCAATACGGTAGTCTTGAGCCTTAATAACTCTTTCTTGTCCACGACGTGTGCCGTTTACTGTTTCATCAATTTCATCCTTTATAGCTTCAATACCTTTTTGAATAATCTGGCGTGAACTGGAAACATTTACCTGCATTGCAGCATTAAGTTTCGCATCAAGAGCGGCGTGTTCAGCATTAAGTTCCTGTAAAGCTTCTTCTTCACACCTTGTATCACGTTCCGTGACACGTATTTCGTTATTTAATGCGTTGATTTCATCAAGAATTTCCTGACGTTCTTGTAGCATGTCGGACATACTTAGAATAGCCTTCTCTTTCTTTTTTATAAGCAGTTGTCCTGCCTTGATTTCTCTCTCAATGATAGCTTTCCTTCTCTCCAATTCTTGAACTGTGACCTCCTCACCATCGTTATTGAGTAATTTGTTCCCATTTACATCATTAGTTGTTCCAACTTGACACCCAGTAGTATCAGCCAGCAACTTTGTATTTTGTTTCACCTTCGCACAGCGCTGCCCCTCTGTCTTGATGCGACGATTGAGTTCATCAATCTGCTGTTGAAGAGAGTGGTTATACTGTGTGATGGCCTTTAACGCAATGTCAAACTGAGTCATCACCGTCCCCACGTGTTCGATTGGAAGCTGCCGCACATCCTTCCGCGGCCTGGCCCCACAGTAGTCGAGCACTGGGAACGCCGCTGCGAGATCGCCGGCCGCGAGGGCCCCGGAGCGCATACTTAACGCCTCTTCGAGTTCCGACTTTCGGCGCTGCAGTTCCTCCATCTCTTTCTGCCGCAGCGCGATGGCGCACTCCAACTCCTTTCGGCGCTCAACTTTGTTTGGTCTCATCGTAAAACTGAATTCCGCAAATCACCTTGGCAACAACAAGAAGAAGAACAACAACAACAACAAAGAAAAGAAGCGAAGGGAATAATAACAGAAACAGTGATTACTCTTTGTGTGTAGCAAGTAAACATATAATGAAGTAGAAAAGGGAGAAGAAAAAGAAGGGAGAGGGAGAGGGGGAGGTGGAGGGACAGCATCATGAAATAATAATAATAATAAACAAGAAGAAAATACGACGCAAATGAGATGAAAGCTACAAGTAGTCAATGTTTGTCTTCTCGAGATTGCCAAGAAAAAAATAAAACAGAAGAAAACATGTGTAGAAGTAAAAACAACTCCAACTATAAAAGTAACAATTATCACTACAAAGTCAAGCTCGTTTTGATATATTTACTAATACAACCTTATTGTTTCGAAGAACAACTGTTTCCTTTACCTTAACATGAAATACAGCAAACTTAGCATGTGAGGCTATTGTCCCGTCTCTCTCAAACGTAGCATAACCCTGAGAATCATATCCATCTGCATTAAAGTACTGCCGCACTGAAATATCTCCAAATCGCACTAGACTTTGCGGTAAAGCCGTGACAACATCATCCACAGCATAGCGCTCAAGAGTGGGATCTAGACAGTGCTGCACTTGTTTCCATCTATTATAATTGCGACCATGGTGAACAAAACGAATATTGTCACGAAGAAAAACTGTGACGTTACTTTTCCCATAAACAATACCCATCCACGTGTTATATACCACGTCGTCTGATAAATAATTTAGTGCATCATCAACTCTCCCCTCAGCTAGTAGATCCATAAAACGCGTGACGATGAGCTGTGACGTTGCCATCTTGCATCTCTATACTTTGCTACGCTCACCCCACAGTCTAAGAATAAGAATAAGAGTAAGAAAAAGAAAAAACAGTGAGAGAGGGATTTTAAAAAAACAATAATAATAATAACAATACATAAAAACAAAAATATAAAAAAAAATACCATTGCTTGACATTCTCCTTATCTCTTTCTCTCTCTCTCGCCTTCTCTATTTCTCTCTCTCTCTCTCTCTCTCTCTTTTGTCACCCACCCCACACATACATACATATATATGTAAAAATATACGCGAGTTTCCGAGAGAAGCAAAGAACACAATATAACGATTGAGGTGAGTAGATCTTAATAAATAAAACGCTCTCCAACTTCTCTTCCTATATCATTGATGCCTTCTGAGACATTAAAATACCAACTATTACGGCAAAGATACCAAGGGCGGATGCAAAAATCTCAATTACGAGAACCTTCACAAATAAGGTACTACTGTGCGCATCAGCAATAGCGCAGCTGCTTCCAACCACTCCAACCGCAATACCACAGGACATGTTGCCAATACCAACAGCCAAACCAGCCGCAAAAAGTGTAAATCCTGCAATGGCCGCTTTATAAGAATACTTTCCGTTTTCATCTATCGCATTACCATTTGTCTCCATTTTTCCCATCATAATAATAGACAAGATAACACCGTATATCGCCACGGCCTCACAAAAAATGATCGATATAAGGTTTTTACTGCGTATTTCAGGGGCACGAATAGCAGCCCCGCTGATAGAGGCAGCTGTGGTTAGGATTCCCCATGCAGCGCCAATAATGGAGAGAGCGATACCGATACCTATTCCAACGGATCCCCAAGCATACGGAGATATAGCAGAAAACACATCCCAGAGGGCAGAAAATGGTGGAAATACCGCCCCACATAAAATTGGAATTACTCCAAATACAATAACCAGGAAAACAATAATATACCGTAGGAGTCCCCATATAACGGCAAGTGCTTCATCAGGTGGTAAACGTGTGGGTTGAGGCAACACCTCAGCTTCGACAGGCATTGGCTCCCAAATTTCACTTATTACTGTAAATAAAACCTATCTGATGAAAACCAGAAATACAAACACAGACTAACACTTTTATATACGGGGTAATTATTAGAGAATTTAATAAAATAAAAAAAAAAAAAAAAGAAAGAACAAAGGAGGAAAATTCCCACCAACAGTACAACAAAAATAATAAAGCACACGTCAAAAACCTCGGTAGAGGCAGTTTAGAAATCTAAGATAAAAGAAAAACAGTACCTTTTTTTTTTCATTATTACAAAAAATGAAAGAAAAAAAGAAAAACGACATAGAAGGACACGAACATGCAGATGCACACGCACGTATATATATATATATATATATATTCCTTGCAAGAAACTAACGCTTGCGGAGGAACACCATGCGGTTGTTGCGGCGCCAGGCAGCGCGGTACGATGGGCGCAGCTTCGATGCCTTGTGGCCCTTGTGGCGCAGACCACGGTGCTTGCGGCCAGCTGATGTGAGGCCACGCTGTTCGCGGTGCTTGTGCACAGCGTTCACGATCCAGTTGATGCGTGGATCGCGGCGAATAGCACGGTGCATTGGGTCCACAGCAACCACCTCATACCAGAGAAAGGTAGAGTCGGCATTCACCCAGTAGGAGTTCAACACACGCAGGTTACCGTACTTCTTGCCAAGACGCTGCTCCGCAATGGCGCGGTTGTTCTTGTTAAGCTTCATCCCCAACACACCACTGGTCTTTGGCTTACCGTAGGTGATACCCTTGTGCACAGGGCGCTTGCGACCACCACGGCGCACACGCACGCGGAACACAGTGTATCCCTGCTTTGTCTTGTAGCCAACCATGCGGGCCTTCTCAGGGCGTGTGGGGCGACGCAGACGCACAATAGTGTGTTGGTGACGGAACTCCCATGAGCGCACACGCTGGATGAAGCGCATAACATCGGAAGACTTCTTCTTCCACAGTTCGTTCAGGTACATAAACGCGCCCATGGTTGGGGTCCTCTACGACTATGTAACAGGGAGTAGATGTGTGAAGGCATGGAAAGGAAAAACAGAGAAAGAGAGAGAGAGAGAGAGAGAGAGAGAGAGAGAGAAACAAAGATAAAAAAGAAAATAATAATAATAATAATAATAATAATAATAATAATAATAATAATAATCAGAAATAACCAAAAAAAAAAAAAAAAAAAAAACAGCACCTATACAAAACTTGGTTGCGATACTTATCTTTTCTCTTCTTCTAAGCATTCCGTTTTTTTTTCTTTTATTGATGACACAAGGAAACAAATTTATTTACATATCTCATTCATTGCACGACTACCACGCTCGTTCCAGTAATGCAGTTGTTCGTTCCACAAATTCATGAATTTCATTTAATCGAGCACGATGACGAGATTGTTCCTCCTTCAAAATACGCGCAGAGCGCTCATTGAGAAGTTTCTCTTCATTACTAATGTACATTTGTTCAAGTTCCTCTAAACGTTTCCTTCGCAGTTCAAACCAATCACCTAAAACCTTTTGATATTCTTCCCTATTGTCAACAATTGACATAACGTTCTCATCTTGCTTTCCCAAATGGTATGCTTCTGCAGAGGTTTCTTGCTTTTGCCGCTGATCGAATAAAGTATCAAAAACTTGACGAAGTGCAACCTGGAAATCTGACTCCATTTTCAGAAAGCTTTCAAATGCAGTCTGAAGAATAACATCTACGCCATCACTTTTCCATTTGCCTATTGTTCCAGTGTTTAAAGACTCCAAGGCATCATATTGGTCAGCCTCTTGCTCAAGTAACTGGTGCTTCACCTCACGGAGACGATTCTCGAGCTCACTGATGACATCAGAAGAAACACCCTCACCCTCATTTTCTCGTCCCCACATAGTACGAGGAATATGATTTTTAATTTCTTTTTCAAATTGTTTTATAATCGCTTTACATGTATTAGCATTCTTTTGCTTGTAGATATTAACGGCTTCAGTAAAAGCACGCTCATCATCGTCACGTCGGGCGCGAATTACTTTCATAGACTCTGCAAGTTCCTTTGCCTTATCTGTGAATTCTGTCTGGAATCTTTCCAACAAATCCTTTGACATTGATGCAACAATATCTGCACGAAGCAAATCTGCAACACTTCGTCCATCAGTCTCCAAATAAAATAATTCATCATAAAGTTTCGTTTCATCAGGGCAATTATATCGCTCATAGTCTTTTCGTACCTTTTCCAATTCTTGTGCTAGTTTTGCCTCTGTAGCCGCACGTTCATCTTCTTCATCAATGGGCATTAGGTTTTCTCGTTGCTCTTCTCGTGCCTTTAGAACCTCCTCTTGGTAAACAATACGACCATCTAAAAATTGAAGTGTTGGAACAAAGGCAAGTAGACGGACTCTATAAAGTGGTAGTTTCTCAAATCGATTACCTTTCAGTGTAAGAATACGAAGACTTTTGATGCGATGCAGATATCGTGCTGTTTCCTCAAGAACCTCAAGACAGTTATTTCCCACACTCAATGAGGTTAACTTCTTAAGAGTATCCAATCCTTCAATAACTGTAATCTTGTTTGAGAAAAGAGAAAGGGTTTCCAGCTCTACCAGTTCTTCTAAGCCTGTTATCCTTGTAATCTGATTAAAACTCAAATCAAGCCACTGTAATTTTTTCAGATGTTCTAAGTTACTTATTTCACTGATTTTATTGTTATCTAAAGCTAATTTTGTTAGATTTCCAAGACCAACAAGGTTTTCAATCTTTCCAATACGTCTGTATGACGCAAGAAGTGTTGACACCTTATGCAACTCCATTGTCTCCATTGCCGTCTTGGCCCGCTGCTGCCGTTGACTTTCTTCCCGCACTCCCACGAAACGCAGCCGCTCTTCATCAGTTGTGCACGCTGGTGGGAGATAAATACACTCGCGTATGAGTGCCTCATTGATGACGGTCTCCTGCGGCTGCTTCATCAAAGAGTAGACAGTATACCCCTTCGACATCTTTTCTCACACCACTCCTTTTTTTTTTTCTCGAAATTGGAAAGAAAACAATAAAAAAAAAATACGTAAGAAATCAAAAACCGAAACAAAAGAGAAAAATATATAATAAAAAAAAAGAAAAGTGCAAACCAGCAAAAAACAACATAAGTAATTCATATATATATATATGGTGAGAGAAAAAGGCTGTCGAGTAGAACAACAACCCATAAAATTAATAATAGAAATAATAATAATAATAACCACAAAAAAAGGAAAGAAAAAAAGCGTCCCATTAACCTTTCTCTCTTCTTCTCGGTACTCGGCTTATTAAAAAAAAAAAAAAAAAATACTGCAAATGTTTGTTTTTAGCACCTATAAACAACCTTCAGTATTTCAGCCTCTGGACGCTTCCTTCACAAAATAAAAAAAAAAAAGTTCCAAATGCAAACAGTAACAATTAACTTATTGAAACCAAATAAAAATCACCAGTATAACTGGCACTCCGTCATCCACTGTGGCTTCGAATTTGACACGGTTTCATCAAGCTCCGATGGAGAGTTACTAGCCGTGACATCGCAGACATCAGATGCGCTGCTGCAATTTTTTTTGATTGATTCAACTGCGGTAATATCATTGCATACAGATCTGTACTCATCTGGATGCACCTCTGCTTTAAAATCAATCAAATCTACTAGAAAACGAAGTTCCATCATGTTAAGATCATGTTTACTCACACCCCCCACCTGAGAATAATAACTCATTGAACAATAAAGATCATCCCTCGTTTTGGCTGCAACTACAACGGCAGTAAGGAGAACACGGTGAATAGAACGTGAATGTAGGGGAAAACCACAGATAAAAAGATGCCGAATATACGCAAGTGCGAAAATGTACGCTTCAGGTGAACATCTCATGTAGGTTACGAGTCGTTGAACGTACTTTTCAACAGATATACCAGGCACGAACTCGGCACAAAAGAAATCAAATGACGGAAAGGACTCGGTGGGGGGTGCAACTTTCACTTCAACCAACTCTTCTCGTAACCCAGCCTGCAATTCCATGATGTGCTGAACGTACATTGTGATTATCGCCGCCATTTGAACCTGGGCTGGTGTTCTCGACCTAGTTCGCGTCGACATCACTGCTTCGAGAATTCAATAGAAAATAATTTAAAAAAGAAAATGAAAAAAAAAAAAAAAAACAAGAATAATAGTAATAACAATAATAATAAGAAAAGAAACACACTAAAAACAAGTGCATATTAAAAAAAAAAAAGTACAGAAACTTCAGGGAGAAACCAAAAAGAAAAAAGAAAATGAAAAAGAAATTTCTCAAAAGACTGACACTAACACTCTGAGTTTCTTTTTTTTTTTTTTTTTCTTACTTGTTTGTCTCCTTTCTTTCTCTCTCTTTTTCTTTCTTCTTCTTTCTCTCTCTCTGTGTGTGTGCAAGCGCACGTCCGTCACACATGATTTGCTGTTTAAACATGTACAGTGCAGCTACTAGTAATCGCCTTTATTTGCCCAATTAGCCAGAACTCATGTCGAAAGTGTCATCTCACGCAAACCCTCCTTCGGGGTACCTCGAAGGAAAAAAGAGTAGACACAGACAATTAAATGCCCTTACCACCAGGAACAAACGGTGCAGCACCAATATTCGTTCCAGGACGCGGAGAGGGATTCTGTGGAGCTACATGTGTTTGTTGGGACATCTGATGAAATTCTGGATTCCCAGTCGGTTGATAAACAGCGTGTTGGTAATGCAATTGAGCCCGTTGCGGAAGTTGCGGGTGCATCTGGTAAAATTGATGTGGCATACGGTATGCTTGTGGCATTGCCATCATTGAAGCTTGAGGCATAAACGACACAGGTAGAGCAACGAACTGAGATTGCGGCACCGCCATAGCCGCAGTGTGTGTTGGGGCGGCCGCAAAACCGGGAGCGCCCAAACTGATGACTTGTGGATAAACCATTGATGGTGCTGGAGACGGCACAACAGTGGGGGCTGGAGAAGTTTGAAACGTTGCGTCGTTCACACCAACAGAGACAGGAAATGGTGGTGGTTGGACAGTAGTTGCTGTTATTGGTGTTACTGTTATACCTGCGGAAGTCGTATCAGTCGTAGTCTCCTCATTGTTCTTGATACCTTCTGTAAAACCTTGTAGCTTGAGGCTGCTCAAGATATCAGCTTTATCTTCTTCCTTTGTTGTGAAAGAGTCTATATTGAAGGATGAACCAGATTTACACCAAATATCATCTTGAAATAGCGGGACACTCTGTATACCACCAGTCTTAAGTTCCCATTCGTCTTTCTCTTCCAACTGTAACGATGCAGTTACATTTTTTCCACCAGGCAAATTAACACCGCGAACAAATACAACATCCATGGCTTTAGAAGGTCCCACCTCTGGGAAAGATGGTGCTCTTGCTCCATGATCAGTTGCTACACTTTCTCCACCGAGATTGAGATTATTGGAAAGCGTATTAGAAACAGCTGGTGGTACCGTTTTCTGATTTTCGGAGCGCTCGTGTACAACGGCGAGGAATGCATTTAATTTTTTTTGTGTGGTAGATTCTATAGATTTCTCACTATTGCAGCTAGCACCTTCCGCACGAAAACTGTCTTCATCAGGAGTCTGCGATATCCCATCTGTACGACGCGTAGACCTAGGTGATCCCAGTGTCTCGGACGCATCACGAAGGTTCACCACTGGAATATCGTTTTTCGTGTTCCAGACATGTATAGTAGTATTAAGCCATTGAGGAACTTCCTTCCTACGTGAATGTTCCATTTGCTAGTATTACTTTGCTTAACGCACTACAATAGAGACAATAGAAATTGAGGAGAAAAGAAAACAAATTAATTATTATCTTTATACCCAAGACAATTTTTTTCCTTTTTAAAGGGAGATTTTCTTTTCCTTTCTTTTCTTCTTCTTCTTCTTACTTCGACTTTTCTTTTGTAAATCTGTCATTATAATGAACAGCACCAAACCCCACTCCTTTTTTTTTTTCTTCTTCTTTGGTCCCCCTGGTTCCAAGAAAGGGAACTGCGTGGCAGCACTTGGGTGAAATGAACGGTCGATGGCCCACTGCCTAGATGTACTTGTTGATATCTCCCACAATGGCAATACTGCGACCGGGGAACATCTTTGCAAGTTCCGCAAGACACTCCTCGCGGTTCGCTCGCGCAGCCGCTAATGCCTCCTCAAGCCGCGGCTCCACCGCCTCTAATTCCTCACGCAACCGCCGCACCCGAGCCGCGTGTTGTTCGCCGCCCGCCGTGGCCGATCCGCCCGGCGGCCGCAGTCGCCGCAACGACTCCAACAGCGACGCCCGCATCGCACGCCCGGCGGACATGCGCACAAATGACGCCTCCGTCGAGACGGTGAGGAGCCACAGGAGGGCGTCGACCGCCGCGGTGCTGTCGGTGAGGGCGTCATCGCCCATCGTTGACCGCTCCACCCCAAAGCACCGCAGCGCCTGCAATTCGGTTAGTACATGATGTCGGTGTGTGGCATTCGACACATCGATGGAAAAGCACTCAGAGACTCTCTCTGGTAGTTCATCTTCTTCAACATCTTTATTATTATTATCATCATCATCAACAGCAGCAGCAATAACAGGATTAGAGCTATCTAGCACAACATTAGCTTCATCAACATTCCATTGGATTTCCACTGCCGCTTCCATGTCAATAGGATCAGACTCATCGACATCGCCCCAATCAATATTACAAGGTGTCACATCTTCTGTTCCTTCTCCTACTTCTACCTTCTGCGATCTATCATGTTTCCTATTCACTCTTAAACTACAGAAACGTTCCGCGTAAATCCTCTCTAACCAAGGGAAATGTAACGAAAAAGCATTGCTGTCATACATTCCCATAGAGTATTCCTTCGCAATACGCCCATAAGCCTCTCGTAAAGCAGCAAAATGTTGGTCATCACCAAACTCTTTCAGCTTCTCGTTAAGAAAAACGGTACTCGAAACTATTCTCTCATCTATAGCGGCATTTAGTTCACCCTCATCTGCTGAAGGACCTACACCTATGAGTCCATACTCCTGAAGTAATTTTTTCCGTTTTTCCTCAATAATTTGAACGTTTTTTTCTGCTTCTTCAATGGCTTTAAAAGAGTCATCTAGGGAACCTGAAAGCTTCTTCTGTTGCTTCTGCAAAGCAGGAATGTCATATCGTATTAACTGCTCTAACTTTGGAGCTAGTTCCAAAAGACGAGCGTACTCCCTACGATGTTTTTTTTCCAATACAGTCCTTCGATCCTTCAACCATTCCTCCATGCGCTGATAGTGTACTGAAATGACCTGCTGCTCCATTAATCAATCTTCCCTTTCTTCGCTTATAATTGAATAAAAATAAAGTAAAAAATACTGAAACAAAAAAAAAAAAAAGAATAGAAATACAGAAACATATGACAACGCCAAGATCGTTACATTTCTTTAATTGTCTCATTTCCCTATAGATATATCTCTAACAAGCAAGTACAGACACACACATACACACATGCACACACACAAAGAAGGACAGAAAAGGAAAAGATGTAAAGAATAATTGGGGAAGGGTAGGGATAGCAAAGAAGAAGAAAAAAAAAAAAGAAACGGAAAGTAAAAAGAAAAAAAAGGTAATCAGTGCGATGTCATCAAATGTTGTTGCTACCCCTCCATCGCCATCCCACCCCTTTTTTCTTCTTTTCTTTTTCTTCTTTCACCTCTCAGCACCCTATCCTTAACCCTAACACTCTTCCTTTTTCTTTGTTTTTTGTTTTTCTGTTCTTCTTTTTTTTTTTTTTCGTTTCTACTAACACGCTACTACGACATAATTACGACAAATTTGTCGATCAATACTATCACATTGTCGTAATTGTTACCCTTACTAATGGTGATGTTTCAATGCAGAAATAATAGACTCCAAAACAGATATGCGAATTTCAATAACCGCCTTGGCCTTTTCATCCTTCGCTGAGCCTAAAGAAGCCTGTTGTGCAGCGAGTGCACCTTCGGCAGCGGCGAGATCAAGCTCCTCGATCGGGATGCACTCAACTGTATTCACATCACAAGATCCCTCATTATTAATGTGCGCAAATCCCCCACTGACGAAGAATTTTTGCGTTTTCCCATCAGTGTACTCCACTGTAATTGTGGAAGGTATAAGTTGAACAATCTTGTAGGCATGTCCAGGATAGATACCATACTCGCCATTAACTCCAGTTACTGTTACACACTTAACAGGATCCTCACGCATCAAAAACTCATCCTGACGGGTAAGGGTAAAGCGTAACGTCTCAAGATTTTCGTGAGAAGCATGGATATCCTTATCTACAACTTTGTGTTCCATATATTCAAAGCCCTCCGGCAACGTATGTGGTACCTGCTGAAGTAACGGCAGTGTACGGGAAACAAGGCGTCGGCCAAAAACGCGGAACATTTTTTATCAACTATAAACAATGAAATACGCAATAGGTAATTCAAGTAATACCAAAAAGAAGAAAAAAAAAAAAAGAAAGTACGAATCATATTTTGAAGCAGAATAAAGAAAAAAAGAAGGAAACCGAAGGATAACGGAAAACTCTGCAAAGAATAGTATAGTAAATGATAAAAGCCAAATTGCTTGAAAGATTTGAATTAAAAAGTAAAAAAAAGTAAAATCCATAAATGTGATTTCATAGTTTGTGCCTATAGACGGCGACCACGGCGGGAACCCTTGCGGCGTGTGGAGTCGGTTGGGATGGGGGTGACGTCTTCAATGCGGCCAATCTTCATACCAGCGCGGGCAAGGGCGCGGAGGGCGGCCTGCGCACCGGGGCCGGGGCTCTTCGTGCCAACACCACCCGTCGCGCGCATCTTTACGTGCAGGGCGTTGATGCCACACTCGCGGCAGCGGGCAACGACGTCCTGCGCGGCCATCATCGCGGCGTACGGGGAGCTCTCGTCGCGGTCCGCCTTCACCTTCATACCGCCGGTCACCTTGCAGAAGGTTTCGCGGCCGGACATGTCTGTCACGTGCACGAAGGTATCGTTGAAGGAGGCGTAGATGTGCACAACGCCGTACACCATCTCATCCTTAGCGGCGCTAGAGCCGTAGAACTTCACTTCCTGCTTTCTTGACATTCCTATGAAACGCTATAAGATGTGAGCAATAAACAAATTAAAAAAAAAAAAAAAAAACAATAACGTTGCGTGAAGATGAATAAGGAAAACACGTATTTTACTTTTATTTCTTATTCCACCTTAAATCATGTACTGAAGGATATCCACACAAACACACACAAAAACGGAGAGAGAAAGAGAGACGCAATTTAAAGAGACATGGTGTGATACCCCCGGTCTACTTACCGTTTTTTTTTTTTTTTTTAGTTTTAAAAACTTTGAAACAAGAAAGAAAAAAGTACCACGGAAGAATGCCAAGTCCTTCGCCATCTCCGCCTCCATAACCCTATCACCTCTCTCTCTCTCTCTCTCTCTCTCTCTTTTCTTTTCTCTTTTTAATCTTCGGTTTTTTTTCCCGTTTCTTGCCCTCGTTTTTTTTTTTTTCTTTTTTTGTGATATTATTCTATATACGATCCTCATAAGAAACTGTGGCTGGTACTCTACAAAAACAAAAAAAAAAGCGATTCCTTTTTAATCAACCTTGGCGCCACCTGTGCTGCCATTATAGTCACTCGTAGAGGACACCGCATCAACTTCCTTGTACACCATTTGATCCTCACTTCCATCATCTGTTTCTTCTGAAAGCAAGCGAATAACCTCATTTGCAGCTTCTTGAGCTGCTGCGTTCTCTAGACGTTTCCCAGAAAGCACAGCTTGAATGTCGTTTACAGTAAGACCGCGTTTCTGTAATGACTGTTTGTTGAGAATCGGATGTCTTTCCCAATATCGGATAGCGTCTGCAATATCATCTTCATCACTAACTTCCACCCTTGTATCACGTGGTTGTTTAACCTCTTCATCATAATAATGTTCATCATCATCATCATCCTCATCATCATAATCACCAGAAAAATCAGATCTGCCATCACCACTTGAACTTTCACCGGCTTGTTCACGATGCTCAGCTTCAGTAGGAACGAAACAGAAGGGAGCATAGTCATCTTCTTGAATTTCAAAAAAGTGTTCAAAATTAGCGAGCATTTCACTTGCAGTCGCTCTCCTTTGTGGATCAAACTCAAGCATAGGAAGAAGAAATTGTGCAATTTCACTTGCCTTTTTGCGAGTGAATTTATGCTTCCCGTGGAGAACATCCTCTAGGGACCAAAAGTTGAGATCCTTAATGCTTCGCAGTTCTCCACGTGAGTTATAATACTGAGAACGATACTTACCATCACCTAGACGCATACTTTCTGGTAGCTCACCTAGAAGTTCTGTCATCAAAGCTAAATGATCTTCATCTCGTGAGTAATTATCACCCTTCCTTGGGTCAAAAAGAAATTCACCTGTGATAAGTTCAAAAATCATGCATGCAGCAGACCATAAATCAATTGGAGTAGAATAAGGTTCTCCAAGAATTACTTCTGGAGAACGATACTGACGAGTCTGAACATCATCTGTAAACTGCCGGTAGGTCCAACAGCTATTACCAAAATCAGCCAGTACAACATGGTGAAGGCGTTCAACTTCCCAGTCTGAATCTGTATCACTTTCTGAAACTGTTTCATTTTGTTTTTGTTCTCCTTCTTGTAGATTACGATTTTCATTATCAGTCTCTGTCACATTATGGGAGAGGTTCACTGAAGTATTTTCACTAGTGCTGACATTTTTTTCTATGTTTTTGAGCTTTTTATAGTAACGCCTTCGTTGTGACTTTGTCATACACTTTGGATCACGCTCAACGAGTCGTGGCCTCTGATGCAAAGGAGGAGGAATATATCGTTTCATTAATGATATTATAGAATGCTTTGGTGTTGATAATAAGACGTTTTCAGGTTTTAAGTCGGTGTGAATAATCTCTAACGAGTGTACATGCCCCAAACCCACAAGAATTTGTCGAGAAATGCACTTGACTATGGGTAAAGGAACACCACGATAATCATACCGTTCAATAAGTGATAACAAATCTTCCCCGTAAACATCAAATACCATACAGACATGAGTTCCATTTGGACCTGTTTGCTCAAAGTAGTCGTTTAAGCGAGCACAACAACGAGTTTTGTCAGGGTCTGCAGACATAATATCGCCCAATAGTTTAATCTCATCATATGCAGCTTCAGTATAATGTCTAGCCGATTTTTGTATTTTCATTGCATAATATCTCTCATCTGTATAGTCCCATACAAGCCAGACTGTAGAGAAATAACCCCAACCAAGTTTTTTAACAATTCGGTAGCGATCATGGTAAACCTCACCAACTACCACAGGATGATAGCCTCCCTTACGGTATTCTGTCTGACGTTCATTGGCTGTATCACTGTAATCCTCACCACTTCCCCCTCCTGCATCATCTTCCTTCTCTTCTCCATCATCAAAAGATTGACTGGGTATATTTTTCAACGGCTTTTGTTGTCGAAGTTTATTCGCTATCTTGTATGCCTGCGCAACTGTCATACCAGGTTTCACCGTAACGCCTTCAATCTTCGCCACCCGACGTTTATTTTGTTTCTTCTCTTGTACTTTTGGAGGCATCTGCTGTGGATGCTCTACAGACTCCTCTGTGCGTTCAAGTTCTTCCACAATGGCATCAATGTCTGTATTCACTTCATTTCCAGCATACGGATCTACATATCTCGTTTTTTCCTTATTGGTACCAAGCCTTCCACCTTTTTTATCTGGCACCCTTTTGCCCCTCGCTTTCTTGTTGCACTTAGGCATACCCCCAAAATGTTTGTGTATGGTGTGCCACTTTAATTTGCTTCCTAGTTGAAGTAGTAATAAATGTAAAAAAAGAGAAAATAAAAGAAAGCAAAACAAGATATATATATATATATATATATATATATACGTATATGTATGCAAGATCATATGAACGGAACAATAAAAAAAAAAATTCAGATCATCTCTATACGGGCATGTTTGTCAGAATATATATATATATATATATATATATATATATATATATTTTTATTTGTATGTGTGTGAGTCTGTGAGTGCATGGATATATGCATGTATATGAGTGGATATTTTTTTTTTTTTTTCTCTTTTCTGAGAGGGGTGTGGACCCCTCACCTTTTCTCTTTCTCTCTTTTTTTTTTTTTTACAATGGGATGTCTGTTTGTGTTTATTTCTCTACTTGGGAAGACAAAAACTGTCTGGCCCTATTCTTTACCCCAATGCATTATACTAGAAAGTAAAACGAGAATACAATCAAAGGCGTACAATCTTCACCCACCCATCCACCCACCCTAGTCCCCACTCTCCCACTCGCCAGCCCATCAATAAATGGAAGTTTCTTTTACAGCATTCTCAGAGCTCTGACACTCTTGTAGTGCCTTGAGCAATTCCTTTACTCTATTTTCTTCCCCCTCAGCTTTATCACTTGTACCATCACGCTGGGGGATAACCTCAGTTAATTTACTTGCCAGCAATGTTATCCGGCTACGTTGTGCTTCACTAATACTACAGGAGTTAAGAAAGGTATTTAATTCTTCGCTAGTTTGTAAAACGACACAGGTAAGTTCCTGCAGTTTTTGTTTTGCAGACTCTAACTGCACTTTAGCCTGTTCATGTAATACTTGTTCTTTTTTAAGCAGTGATTCAAGGGTACGATTAGCCTCAACATGGACAGCAACGAGATCGCGCTCACGTCGAATCTCAGCATACAGCATCTTTAACAATTGCTCAATTCTTGGTGAACTTGGGGTTCCCAAAGCTCCTGTAGAATACAACGGTGATGTCTTTCCCGGAGCTATTTGACGGTGTTCCATGTTCGAATTTCGGTAATGATCTATTCGTGTGGGTGCACGCAGCTCCTCCACACCGTGAGCAAACGTACATCCCCTGAAGGTACAACTTCCAGTCTCCCAGTTCCTACACATGGTTGTCTTGTAACGTGTTGGATCCGTTCCTGACTTTTTCACCGGTAAACTGCTACTGCTGGTACTGACATTGTTATTGGTGTTGTTATTGTTATTGTTACTGTGATTGTTGTAAACTTCATCAGAACCAGTAAGCGAAAACGGTGGCATACCGTAACGTGTCATCGATTGCGGAAGCATCTGTGGTGACATATACGGCTGGGAAGCCGGACTCCTCTGCGATATAGGTGAGTTACCGGCTCGAACAGAGAATGACATGAGTATTAAGATACCAATTGCACCACTAATAATAATAATAATAATAATAATAATAAATAAAAAATCACACATCATAAAGAAAAGAAAAAAAAAAAAGAAGAATCAATAATAATTAATATAATACAGTTGAATGAGAATAAAACAAGTAATATATATATATATATATATAGAAAATGTACAAAAAAAGAAATATCACTCATTTTTAATCCTCCATATCATCATCGTCTCTAACTAGCAGGCTTTTATCTTGAAGTGGAGGGAAACAAGGGCCAATACCAGTGACTTTATATCCCGTACAAAGTAGTAAAATGTCTCAAGACCTTTCGGATTTTCCGAATTCTCAACTTCGCTTAAGGAGGTAATCTTATTCGTCACCAATGATATATGGGTATTTCCCAGACGAATCTCTAATTCTTGTCTTCCATTACGATCAGGTTGTGGCCACCGCTCGTCATCGCTTTCAAGTACCCCAGAAGAGATGATGAGACGTTTTATTTCCTCCAACACCGCCGGGGACACCCGTGCCTGTTTCTTAATAATATTTTCATTCCTGTAACGACTGTTATTTCCATATTTTAGTGTTCCATTGTCGCGGATGTCGAACTCAAGAAACTCATTGCCATAACGACCCGTATGTCCGGCAAAGTAGCGGAGATGATATAAATGAGAATCCATAGTCTCTTCGGGCATCGCCGCTATCTCCCCTTCTGACAACATTTCTGTCGCCATTGTTTTTTTCCCTTCGTGAAAAAAAAAATAATTAAGACATTAGTGTTATTTCAAAAATCCAATAACAGGAAAAACAGAAAAAGAAAAGAGTGAGACGCATTTTATTACGTACAGAAGATAAAAAATAAGAAATAATAAAAAAAAAAAAAAAAAAAAAAAACA